CATTTCATAATATCTCATTCCCTAGGTCAGGTGTATTCATTGCCTCTTTCATATTTAATTGTGTGCGCTTTCATTGAATATTTCATTAGGAATATTGGATGCTTTCATTGTACTTTTTATAATTAATGTTGTGCAATTTCAATAAATATCTCATTCCCTAGGTCAGGTGTATTCATTGCCTCTTTCATAATTAATGCTGTGCGCTTTCATTGAATATTTCATTATCAATTTTGGGTGCTTTCATTGTGCATTTCAATAAATATTTCATTAGCTAGGTTATATGTATTCATTGCTTCTTTCATAATTAATGATGTGCACTTTCATTGAATATTCCACAGCTTTCATTGGGATTTTTCATTGAGTATCTCAATATTTCATTCCAATTTCATATCTGCCCCCAGGGATATCATTATGATTTTTCATTATATTCCATGATAGCAATGAAATAGCTATTACGGTCCATCCAATGGGTCATCAGGAGGGTGGTCACATGACAAATTTCCAAAAATGGTAAAAAAACAAAAGTTGTAGCTCTTTACCATAGCTTCCAGAATCAGTTGGAATTATGTCCTAAAGTGCTTCCATTGTGGAGATATAAGGTAAAAGGTTTTCAAAAGCGCCGCGTTTTTTTTTGTTTTTTGCATTTTTCTTCATGAAAAGAACACTAAACAACATGATTTCAACAGATTTAGAAAGCTAAGAGAAGGGGCTACAACTATTGTATTGTGGGAAATTTCTCCCAAAAAGGAAGGTACATGCCCTAAAATGGTAATTGACACTGACAGACTACAAAAGTAATTTATAGCCTACAAAGTTTACTAATAGACTACAAAAAAGACTACAAAAGTTGGACATAGACCACAAAGGTCAGACAAAGACTACAAAAATTAGTAGTGTCTGCTTTTCTCATTACAAAAGTAATAGTGTCCGCTTTTTGAGACTAGAAAAATTAGTAGTGTCTGTTTTTTCAGACTACAATGGTTTGTAGTTCCGCTTTTGAGAGTG